ACCCTGTGAGGTAGGCCATGATCGAAGTCACATCTGAGTGGGGATTTGAAGGGGAGAGTCCCCAGTCCTGGTGCAGGTCTCTGAGATGGTAAAAGCCAGGCTACGGTTCCCGTGTACTTTTCCAGCTAAGGATTTCCCACCAACTTTATTGAGTACATTTTTATTTAGTACTTCTTCACCCAAAGAGTGATTCACACGTGGAATTCACGGCCACAGGAGGTGGCGGCGGCTACAAGCACGGATGGCTTCAAGAAGGAATTGGATCAACATATGGAGCAGAGGCCCATCGGTGGCTACTAGATAGGAACTCTCGGTCTGGGGCAAGGGATGCTCTGTATTCTTGGTGCTTGGGGGGGTCAACAGTGGGAGGGCTTCTAGTGTCCTGGCCCCACTGCTGGACCTCCTGATGGCACCTGGTATTTCTGGCCACTGTGTGACACAGAGTGTTGGACTGGATGGGCCATTGGCCTGATCCAGCATTGGCTTCTCTGATGTTCTTACATGGAGCAGAGGTCCATCAGTGGCTATTAGCCACAAGGCATAGATAGGAACTCTCGGTTTGGGGCAAGGGATGCTCTGTGTTCTTGGCGCTTGGGGGGGGGGCAACAGTGAGAGGGCTCCTGGTGTCCTGATTTGAGGGGGGCAACAGTGGGAGGGCGTCTAGTGTCCTGGCCCCACTGGTGGACCTCTTGATAGCCCCTGGGTTATGGCCACTGTGTGACAGAGTGTTGGACTGGATGGGCCACTGGCCTGATACAACACGGGCTTCTCTTATGTTCTTACGCTCTTACATTCTTAGTACATTGTTAATCCTGCCTTTCCTCCGAGACTCTCAGAGCTTACCTAGGCAGTGGATGTGATCCTTCACCGTGCAGTTGGCTCGGTACCGTTCCCGCGGGCACGAGACCGTCTTGCAGTTCGTGGCGTTGGAGCACGTGTAATCGGACGGAGGCAGCTGCCAGCAGAACTGGCAGGTCATGTTGATCGCAAAGGTTTCCGGGAATGGGTTTTCCTGCACGGGAATCGGAAATGGAACCCGAGTCAGCCTTCCGGGAATGACTCGCAGGTTAGGTTCACCTGCGTATTTAACAAGAGATCCTTCTTGCAAGGTGGGATACGTAAAGCAAGACGGTTTTACCGATAAATCGCACACGATTCTCTCGATAGAAATTAGGGATGGAAATCAAACCCGCACAACACTGACAGCTGGCATTCTCCCCACCCAACCCGCTTTAGGCCTTACATCTGGGAAACTGGACACCTCTGTCCCAACAGAATTCACTTCTCTTCTGCCCTATTCCCCACTTCCCGCCATTTACACCTTTTTAGTAACTCCTGCTCCAAAATAGAGTAGCTCTGAGTGATTTTTGTTGTCGCTGTTATATTGTTGGCAAGGATAAGGAATGCGTTGTTTGTCTGTGCTTTGATTTAGGACTGCTAAGTATTTAGCTAGGATGTCCTCCTTCTCACTGTTGAACTGAATCCTTCAGTAATCATAGAATCACACAGAGTTGGAAAGGGCCATACAGAACCACCTAGTTCAACCCCCTGCCCAATGCAGGACCAGCCTAAAGCCTCCCTGACAAATATTCGTCCAGCCTCTTCTCGAAAGCTCTCAATGAAAGGGAGCTCACCGCCTCCCTGGGCAGCTGATTCCACCTTTGAACCACTCTGACCGTGGAAAAGTTTCTCCTAATATCCAGCCGATACCTTTCTGCGTGCAATTTAAACCTGTTGCTTCGGGCCCTGTCCTCTGCCACCAACTAGAATGGCTCCTTGCCCTCCTCCAAATGACAGCCTTTCAAATATTTAAAGAGAGCAATCAGGTCCCCCCTCAACCTCCTCTTCTCCAAACTAAACATTCACAAGGCCCTTAAGCCTTTCCTCGTAGGCCTCAGTCTCCAGACCCCTGGTCATCCTCGTTGCTCTCTTCTGCACCCTCTCGATTTTGCCCACATCCTAAACTCCATATTCCGTTTTAAGATTAAAAAATAAGAAATTAGGGATGAAAAGAAACGGGGTTTCTGGCCAGGGCAGAGAAGAAGTATTTGGTGTGAATCGAGCATTGTGCAGAGAGCAGACACTATATCCCACATCTGGATGCGCCAAAACAGCTTTTAAGATACTAACTCACCAAAGGCGTATAAATACACCAAAGGTGTATAAATTGGGGTTGGGGGGTTAGAACTGACCTTCCTGGTCTGGCTTAACCACTACACCACACCAGCTCTACCTTAGAACAAAGGCCCCCAACCAGTGTTCCCTCTAAGCTGAGTTAGTGTGAGCTAACTCACGGGTTTTCAGCCTCCGGCTCACACATTTTTGTCTCAGCTCGGGAAGGATGGCTCCGGAGCCGATTTATGCAGCAGCCAAATCGCTCGCTCACAATTTTAATGCTAGGAGCTCACAAAGCAGAATTTTTCCTCACGAGACTCCACAGCTT